ACTGAGCCACCATACAGATGCCACAGCACTATCGTCACGCGTTCAACTACCATACAGATGCCACACCACTATCTTCACGCGTTCAACTACCATACAGATACCACACCACTGTTTTCACGTGTTCAGCCACCATACAGATACCACACCACTGTCGTCACGCGTTCAACTACCATACAGATACCACACCACTGTTTTCACGTGTTCAGCCACCGTACAGATGCCACATAATTGTTCACACACGTTTAGCCCCCATACAGATGCCACACCACTGTCGTCACGCGTTTAGCTACCAAAGGTATTGATGCAATAGTACTATAGCCCCACATTCAGATACCACAGTACGTATGTGTCCACACACACCTAACAAAAAGATACAACAATAGTATATTCTTCTACCAAACATCAGAAAAGAAACCCAGTAACCCAAGCATTTCCCAAAAGTGCAGTTTGATTCAAGTGTGAAATCACCAGTTACCCTCACCTTTTGTTGTTGATCCTGTGTGCTTTAGAGTTTTACGATTTTAGAATTAAAATTAATTTCAAACAGGCACTTTCCTCTGAGTTTGAACTCATGCTGTTAACAATTTATGTGACTCCACTCTCCACATGACTTATTGAGCAAGCTTCAGTGAAACTTACATCAGCTCTGTTTTCCTACCATAGTTTAAATGTTAATAAAAGTTGCTGTCGTTATGAAGTTTCGGTTGTGATGGGTGTGTGTGTGTGGGGAGGTGTTTCATCGGTTGAAACTCATTTTAATTCTCAGAATGTAAAATTCATGTCAGGTAGACTTACCTCTGAAATACTGAAAGTAGGAATACCCACATTGTAGCGAAACCAACTAACATGAAATTATATAACTACAAGTTACAAGGTAGGTAGTAATAGTCAGAGGAGAATTCAGAACTAGAAAATTATTTGCAGAATTGAATTAGAAGGAAAGTGGATGTAGTGGACTAGCCTCATAAAAAGACTGATCCTAAAGAACATTCTGAAGTAAAATATTATTCTCATCAGGGTATCTCTTCGCCCATAATGCCCTTGATTTTGGTGGCCCAGGGGTCAGTTTTGTAAATGGTAATGGCAAAGACAATAGGAGCAATACTGTGTCCTGCTTTACAAAAGAAGGTTATTGGGAGAGCAGTCCAGAAACGTATTATGAAAGGAAATACTTCAGACAGTAACCCATCTTTATCCATATCTAAGATAGTCAGTGAAACACACAATCACCCAAATTAGTGGGTGCTCAGTACGAACAAAAGAAAGACTCAAACAATCCCCGAGGAAGGGCTTTACAATGTGACGACATTGCAGGGGGAACATCAGACATTCACAAATAAGTACAAAAACAACCAAGGTGATCCCATCCTGGCAGGAGCTGAGACATCTAATGATAACTGTTGTCCCACTTCCAACATATCTAATGCCACACAAGGAAGTGAACACAGAAGTGGGAAAGGTACCTGTCAAGGCATCATCAAACACTTCCAAAAGGCCACACCATATCATAGAAGTTTAGCATAGAGGATGGAGTTTTATCTAGAGCAAACAATATAGGTATAAGTGACGTGTGAGAGCCCTGACTGGATGAACCCATGTGTGTTGTCACACAGAAGGAGAGACCATGTTTTTAGTATATTTTTTATATAGACACACACAGGTGTTGGGTGATACTGAAGTACGTGGGTTGCCTAGAATAAACAAAGATGCTAAAGAGCATGTGAGAGTCCTGGCCAGAAAAATTGATGTGAATACAGAATCTTGAGACATAAGAAAAGACCGATTTAATTCTTGTTTATTTGTGTGTGTGTATGTGTGCATATAGTATTGTTTGTTTTGAAGTTAAATCTCTTCACAATCCCAAGCACCCTGGTAATGGTTAACAATGGGTATAATATACAAAACTCACAAAAGACAGATTCCATTAGGTTTGAAAGGTAACCACAAATGACAAACAGAATCCTTAAACTGAAGATATAGTGATATAATGACTGTCAAAATAGTAAGAAATATATATGCAGATTCGTCCCCATGCCAGCCTGTAAAGTGACCAAATGGTGAATGTGATGAGAGGTATTCTTAAATCCATACTTGTGCACATAATGATAAACAAAACTGAACAACTTCACAAACCAGTAAGTTAATGTGGATGGAACGAGATCCTAGAACGAGAATTGCCATAAGGTATAAACTACTGGGGTCTTTTTGAACTGGAATATACCATTCTTGAAAAATATGAAAAACTACAGGAGAAAACACAGTGGTGACTATATCTTGCAGCTCAAATGTTTGATAGAATGGCGCTATTAGAATGCAAGTACAGGGTTTTCCAAAAGGAGTATGAGAAACATCAATGGTGAAAAAGGACCACCTAACAGCCAGCCATGAAGGTGTAGATGGCAAACAAAGTTGTGGAATATGTACCAAAAACAATAGAATAAAATTGCTCAGAGATACATGGGAGCAGTGGAAATCATGATGAAGCAGACCAGCCTGGGACAATAAGAACTGGAACTGGACAATGGGACCTACTGAACATGGCCATTATCTGACCAAATAGATGAAGAGGTGGATAAGTAAGAGAATAATAAATATCATAAAATAAAATATCATAAATGTGTGCAAAGTATACACTGCTATAAAAACTAGAACTGGAAACTATAAAAGTATCATAAAATGATGTACTTCCATCACTAATGCATCAAGCACAAGGTGACCTGAACATTTAGCACAACCAATGCAATACCAGCTCATAAAAGACATGATGTGGATGGAGCCAGGAAACCAAAGCAAAAAAGCTGTTTCACTGAGATCTGCCCTACTTGTTGATATATGTCACTACATTCAGAGAGATTTTGAGTACTACAATCCAGAGTAGTATAACAAGGGTAGGAACTCCTGAAAATCGTGTAGATTAATACAAATCTCTAACATAATGATGTGAGAATGGAGCATCTGAGAAGACCACAGACTACACATCAACATAGTCCTGAAGAGAGGCATCGGTGAAAAATCCAGATCGGGTGTAGTAGGAGAATTCCAATAGACAACATGTCCGAGGATAGACTTCATAAAGGAGCAAGATCCACTGACAGTATCTCACGTAAGTGTGATCCATTGGAATTCTCATGCAAAAAAAGTCATCATTCCCAAATCAGAGAGGATGTGTTTGGAAAATAGAAAAGTATTGTGCACATAAAACTCGAGAAAAAGCAGAGGCAAAGGAGATGGGTGAATAGTTCATGAATGTGTATGGTAGACCAGATAAATGTGTGACTATACATGTGAAAGAAAGAGTTCCCAAGCCAGATGGCAGAAGATTGGTCAGGAACTGATAAATCTCACCACCAAGTGAAAAATGAAGATAGTTGACTCATGATGTAAATAAGCGTCTTTTGAAATATCGACATCCAAAAATATTGACAATTGAACTTTAATAAGATACTCATATTTTACAACTAGAAAGAAGGAATATCTCGATAACAAATGAGAAAATTTAAAACAAGTCTATATTCTCCTGTTGTCTGTAGCACGACAAAAAGAGAATAAAAAACCTGAAGTAAAGTGAAGTAGAATATCGATATCCATTTGTTGTGATAAAGGGCTATCTGTGCTCTGCCCACAATGGGTATCGAAACCCGTTTTCTAGCGTTGTAAGTCCGCAGACATATCTCTGTGCCATTGGGGGTGATGACAATTGAAACTGCTAGATCCAAATCCAAATGGAATCTGGATTTGGATGATGACTAGGAAATAATCTTATTAACTCAAAGAATACGAAACAAAGGGTCCATAGATGAATAACAATCTGAAATGCCCTTAAAATTCCTTATGGAGGAGTCAACAAAAACATGTGGGTCAAAAAGACCCAACTTGTTTACATCGATACTAGGCCGCACTAGAACTATAAACTGGAAATACGTTGAATGAAGTTTTTGTAAACACGAAAAAATGAAGTTTTTAATGTATATATGTGATTAAAGGACGAAATACCTTGCAACACAGCCAGACGTGTCAAAGTAACATACAAGCCACCACGTTGTAATAGAAACAGTAGCATTTCGACTCGCAGGTAAGAATTGTTAATTGTTAAAGAGAATGCTACATACGCACTACCCACAAAAATTTACCGCTAAGTTACTAGGAGGGGGGAGGTAGATAAGGAAGATTTAAAAATAAACGAAAATAACCAGTAATTAGTGTGTCTGAAAACTAGACAAGAAAACTGACGGTGGGTAAAAAAATAAAAACAATAAGAGAGGATTAAACACTTGAGAAATAACAGAAGAGAAATATGAAGTGTATAATTACAATATCAGGAGAGAATGTTAGAAAGGTTAAACAGGAAATAATGTCATATAAGCCTTTCAAGTGTAATGGGAATAGTTTCAATATATTACATACTTACTAGAAAAGAAACGTCATCAGGATTAGGGCTAACACTACAGTAGATAAAACCAGCTCTGCAACCTTTGAAGTCAGTTAGGCCTTCAACAAACTCCAATCTAGTCTAATTTGAATTACTTGGTAGTTATTTAGGTTAGATATATCAATTCCTGAAGGAGCTTGAGAGAGACAACCAGGGGCGGTGAGAAACGGTTGTTTCTCATCGTCACGCACATGGAATTAGGTTTAATATCTAAAGGGCAGGGGATTTAACAGTGAGAAGCAGTTTGAAATGAATTAAGATTTTAACTATTGAAATGGTATTGCCTCAATATATCAGGAAAAATTACGTTTGTGGAGACATATTCGAAAAGCAATCGTTATGCATTCGTGATGAATATCAGAAAAACGAAGAAATAGCATTTATAGCTGACATAGCATTTTATAATGTGTCTTGCACGTTATTCGCAAATTTCATAAGGTATAAAATTCTGATAGTGGTGGAAACAGTTGCATCACAAAAAATGTTGTAGCAAAGTGACCAGCACGAGCGAAAACGAGAACCGCTAACGCTTGCGCAATAAGTCACATGGAAGGTGGCAGACTGGAGACTTATGGAAGTGACGCATGCTCTGCAATACGTAAAGGAAGGACATTCGGAAATTTTTGGTCACTTGTTTTACTGACAACATGAGTTCAAACTCAACAGAGAAAGAATTTCAGAAGTAAATCTACATGCGTTGAACATCGTGATAATGCATTTCTATTAAATAGATTTAATTAGTGTAAACATAATACAGATAAGTAGCCTCGATTAGGAAATTCATATTATATTGTTTTACTCGACTACTAGAAACTTTAATAACCTCAGTATTTCGTTACGAGAACTGTAACATTTCCAAGTTTTCATACAGATTTTTATTAAATCATACAAGGGCTTGCCACAACCAACCTAAGCATTGTCTCTCCATTTGCGACACCCAAAACTTACACTGCTCCATTAGTAGACCATCTTCTACCGCTAGTGATCCCTGGGTCTGCACGGATGTCAGATGAAGCAAGCTCCTGGCATGGACTTCAAGGAAATGCTCTTTACAGGTTCCAACTTAAAGCTTTTCGAACAGATATGACCAGTGTTGGATACAGTGATGTTTTCATTAGAACAAACGCGCCTCCAGCAATCCCTTGGCTACAGGTAATGAAATATTCATATACTGATTAAATAAAACAAACTTGATTTTAAGGATAGTCCACAATAAAACAAAAGATCTCATTGTCGAGTTTGATTTAAGATTATCTGAAGTTCTAGTGTTAAACGTGTACTGAAGGTTGAAACAGAAGCAAAAGTTCTAGAGTTAAACGTGTATTAAAGGTTAAAACAGAAGCAAAAGTCGTAGGGTTAAACGTGTATTGAAGGTTAAAAGAGAAGCAAAAGTTCTAGAGTTTAACGTATATTAAAAGTTAAAACAGAAGCAAAAGGCCTTGGGTAAAACGTGTATTAAAGGTGAGAACAAAAGCAAAGGTTCCAGAGGTAGCAGAAGCAAACGTTCTAGAATTAACTGTTTACTGAAGTTTGAAACAGAAGCAAAAGTTCTAGAGTTAACCGTTTACTGAAGGTTGTAACAGAAGCAAAAGTTCTAGAGTTAACCGTTTACTGGAGGTTGAAATAGAAGTAAAAGTTCTAGAGTTTACCGTTTACTGAAGGTTGAAACAGAAGCAAAAGTTCTAGATTTAACCGTTTACTGAAGGTTGTAACAGAAGCAAAAGTTCTAGAGTTAACCGTTTACTGAATGTTGAAATAGAAGCAAAAGTTCTAGAGTTAACCGTTTACTGAATTTTGAAATAGAAGCAAAAGTTCTAGAGTTAACAGTTTACTGAAAGTTGAAACAGAAGCAAACGTTCTAGAGTTAAACGTGTACTGAAGGTTGAACTAGATGTTCATCTAAAATACCCACGTTGTATAGCCCTTGACAACCAGTTCAACTACAAAAACCTACGTTGTGTAACCCGTGAAAGCCACCTCGTCTACAAAACTTACGTTGTGTAGCCTTTGATAGTGAGTTAATCCAAAAAAATCTACGTTGTATAGTCCTTGGCAGACAGTTCATCAACAAAAAACCTACGTTGTATAATCCTTGACAGCCAGTTCATCTACAAAAACCTACGTTGTGTAGCCTTTGATACCGAGTTAATCTAAAAAAAAATCTACGTTGTATAGCCCTTGACAGCCAGTACATTTAAAAAACCTACGTTGTGTTACTTTTGACAGCCACCTTATCTACAAAACCTACGTTGTTTAGCCCTTGGCAGCCAGTTCATCTATAAAAAAACAAAAAACAACTATGTTCTGTAGCCCTCAACAGCCAGTTCATCTAAAAAAAACAACGTTGTGTAGCCCTTGACAGCCAGAATATCTAAAAAAGCCAAACTTTGTACCTTTTGACTGACTGTGTTGAAGTTAATTTCTGGCATATTGCGCGATCTTCTTAACGGTGAAGAGAATATACATCTTTGGAGGCATTTAGACAATATAGTTGTTCTTTCTTTCCGATTATCATTTGATTATAACCTAAATACACCCTTATATTAAGCTTACATGATCACGTATGTCATTGACCACAACAACGAGTATTTGAAACCTTATCTAACAATGCATAGATAAATATCACTTTTTTTTACAGATTGACCCTCCAGAGGGAAACAAGCCAACTACTCGATTTATACTGAATGCTACCAAAGGTTGGAGGGATGACCCTTCGGACTATCCATTAAAATACGTTTTTTACGTATGCTTTACTAATAAAGTGTGAATTTTCAAACGTTTGCTAATAAAATGTGAATATTTCAAGTAGGCTAACGTTTATTTTGACAATAAAGCGTGAATATTTCAAGTAGGCTAATGTTTACTTTGTTAATAAGTGTGAATATTTCAAAAGGGCCAACGTTTACTCTTGATATTAAAGCGTGAATATTCAAATAGGTTAACGTATATTTTGTTAATGAAATGTGAATATTTCCAAATTAACGCATAATTTGTTGGTAACACGACGAACTAGCGGCAAGAATAAAGTCCTAAGTAATTTAAGAAAATATTTTCCTGTGGAAGAAAATACTGTAGCAAATTGTACTTCATATTTATACATACATTTATTTGGTAAAATAACATCTTTCACAACTGGTGGCGCTGCTGTTATGGTTCTTAGCTTGTAATCATTGTAAACGTTTGAAAATTCACACTTTATTAGTAAAGTAATCGAAAGCCTGCTTCAGATATTCATACTTCATTACTCAAGTAAACCTTTACAATTACTAGCAAAATAAACGTTAACCTACTTGAAATATTCGTACGTTATTATCAATACTAGCGTTGGCTTGTTTGAAATATTTTAACTTTATTGACAAAGTATATTTTCCCTATGTCAGTTACTATAAATAGGCTTCAGCGTTTTTGAAATGCAAATCTTTTACTCTTTCTAATAATGTATAACTATATGGCTTTTATGTCATGAACACTAACACTATAATTTTACGTTCCTCTGACAAATTACTTTTGTTTAGATCTCCACTTTCGATCTCTAACTTTCGATGTCATTTATTACCTACTCACCCACCCATCCCGGTGGGGGGGGGGGGGGTATTACAATCGGGTGTGTGTTTCTGTCTGTCTGTCTCTCCTGCATTTCGAAAATTAGTAGACCGATATACACGAAAATTTTACACAAGATGGGAAGTCAGTGTGGAACAGTCCTTCCCAAATCCGGATCACTCTGAAGCATTTTTTATAATGGGGAGCAGGGGCATTTTCGTGATTTTGGGTTAATAAATCTGTAAATTGTGATTGGATATCTACCAAATTTCAGGGGCAAATTAAGATTGAGACTCATCATACTACAAAAAAAAATGATTCGGATCATTAATTGATAATGCTAGATCTGAGAATTGTTTTCTGAGTTTGCGAAGGTGAAATTTGACGTTATCCAATATAAACGCATGTAATTTCGAAAAGGGGCGGCAGGGTGAGGGGAGGAATTTCTTTGATTTCTCTTGTTTTTAATTGCTATATTTACTGCTAGCACTGTGCTCACGCATAAAGAATTGGTAAGTGTTGCAACTTATTTCTTTGTTGTTAAATGCAACGCTACATAATGAGTTATGTGTGTTGTGCCCAACACGAGTACCGAAACCCAGATTTTAGCATTATAAGCCTTCATACTTACCATTAAGCCACTGGGGACGGGGGCAAGTGTTGCATCATTACGATTCCTTGTTTCCGATATTTTGTCTGTAATCGTACTCGAAACGTTTACTAGACATCGTTTGACCATAACGATACTCAAAACTAGTCCTTTATCGCTGCTCACCCTCAACTTTACTAAAAACACTGTTTGAGGGTTTGATCCTCACTAGCCATTTATTCATGTCCATCCTCATCTTAACGTTGTTTCAAGGCTTGATTCTCACTAGACATTTAACTAAAGCTTGCAAATGAGCACCAATAAAAGACCAATGAAACTCGAGCCTTGATACAATGTTTTTAAGTAAAGCTGAGGATGAGCATAAATAAAAATATAGTGAGAAACAATTCATGAAAGTAAGTTTTTAAGTAAAGCTGGGGATGAACATCAATAAAGAGTGAAATTAAGTCTTGAAACAACGTCTTTGTATATTGGTGTATCATTTTCAGCTTTACTTGTACATGTGTAAGTTGATACATATTAAACTTCCTTTCAACTTTTTGCTACTTTTGTCTGACGGACTCGTGTATACAAGTGGATAGCCTTTACACTTCAAAAAGTTTAATGTTTGTTTTACTGCAAAGCCACACAATAGGCTGCCTGCACTCTGACCACCAAGGGGAATTGAACCTCGGATTTTAGTGTTGTAAGCTTACCTCTGACCCTCATTAAGAAGTAAACTTGTAAGTAAACCAAAATTGTTTGTTTGTAACAAAATCCCTAAAACTAATTTTTTAAAACAAACAAAAAACAGGCTTTATAATGTATGTAATTTAGACCAGCTAATGTAATATTATCATATTATTAACAGGTTTTATTTGGATCTGTGAACTTTAGTTTAGAGGTAGTGACTTTGTTACTTCTGCCACTGAAGGTGGATGGAGGTTATGTTTTCACCCCTGTGTGTGTGTTTGTCAGCAAGATTTCTCGAAAACAGCTGAATATATTTAGATGACAGTTAGTATACATTTGGACTATGACCTAATTTAGATGAGATTTGTTTTTGGATGGTCAAGTTCACAATATGGCCACAAAAAAATATCCCTATCTGTTAACGTGGGAACTTATTTTTCACATTATTTTTTCTCTATAACTCAGTCATAAATTATCGGATTTTGATGAAATTTGGTGGATATATGTAGAATATTATTCTACATTTGGTATTTTTTGAGTGCCAAATATGATCAACACTATGTGATGATGGTATGCGCTCTACTAAGTGCCCCCTCTAGGTCAGTATGTCATGAGCTAGGCAAACAATAAAACTAGTAATAAATTCATTGAGTTTATAAAAGATCCCAACCTTTCTTATTTCAATTTTTTAAAGTTCTATAGACACGACTGAACAAAAAGTTTATCCAAAAAATTGTCGAAAGTAATGAAAATAAAACAGTCGAGATAAGAATAGAGTAAAATGTGCTACTTTGTAATAAAACTCAGTTTAAACTAGCATTGTCTGAATTATACGACCATTTTGATCTTTTTATCTCTGCTGTTTTAAAATCAACCAAGAAGTTTCTCAGCCACCAGCAGTGTGCAAAGAACATTAAAAGGGTAGGAGCTAATTGAAAAAAAAAAGAGCACTTTTCAAGCATTACACACAACTTTTTTTTGGGGGGATGAAGTGTTAGGGGAGACTATGGGTTACTTCTGGTACACATGAGGTAAAAAAAAAAGATAAGAAGCGAATATGTCCTCTTCTATTTCTATTCGATTGATCTTATACTCATTTTTAAAATCTAAAATTAAACAGTAAATTCTTGTGTATTAACACTTCATAGCATGTCAGTTTTTTTATACTGTAAAGACCTACAAATCTCTGTGCTCAATTAATTTTAAAGCTGAAATATTTTTCATGTCTTTATCAAATTTATTGAATTTAGTACCAGTTTTAGTCTCATATGTACACACACTTTGAAACATTTTTAGAATAAGAAAACACATACTTGTTTGTAATTAATAAATTTCTTTGCATGTTTCCTGTAGGCCTCTCTCATGGAGTTACGTTGAAAGTGTGTGACAGCTTTGACTCTTGCTCAATCATAGAGAAAAAACCAAATATTTCATGGACATCATCTTTGAATGAGTATGATAGCAAGGAGATAGAATATCTGGTGACAGAAAACTTAGATTTTGGTATGTCCTATTTAGTTTACTGCCACTAAAAACTATTCAGAACCTTTTGTGGAATTTTATTTATGTCTAGTATAATATCATACAGGTAGTTGTTAATTAATTTTAGTTATGTCTAATATAATATCATGCAGGTAGTTGTTAATTAATTTTAGTTATGTCTAATATAATATCATGCAGGTAGTTGTTAATTCATTTTAGTTATGTCTAATATAATATCATGCAGGTAGTTGTTAATTAATTTTAGTTATGTCTAATATAATATCATACAGGTAGTTGTTAATTAATTTTAGTTATGTCTAGTATAACATCATACAGGTAGTTGTTAATTAATTTTAAGTAGTTGTTTTTATCGAATACCATTTTATTTCAAAATCTTAAGCCAACTAGTCAACAGTCTTTGTCTTAAAGTTTATTATTTGAATTTGATGTAGCATAGTTATAATTGGCTGTGCATTATTTGATAATGTGAAAGTTTCTATGTGTATTGTTCAACTTCTTGTTGTAAATTAATTATGGGTATTAATCTACTTAGGCAAGAAAAACGATTAATTTTATGTGGTTGTCAATCTACTTAGGTTAGAATTAGAAAAAACAACAATCCTTATTGTAAATTGTGTATGGGCATAAATTCACTTAGGCAAGAAAAACAATAATCCTTATTGTAAATTCTGTAATGATGATAATCTACTGCGGCAAGAAAAGTAACAATCCTTATTGTAAATTCTGTAAGGGTGTTAATCCACTTAGGCAAGAAAAACAAAAAACTAATGCCATTTTTTATTCATTATAAAAACATTCATAATTACCATATTTATTAATTATTTTTGATTAATCTCCTAGAACTAACATTTACATGTTAACTTAGCTACAAAAAATAATTATACATTGGTAGCTAAAAGTTTTTCAAAGGTTATGAGTTAGTGGTGTATAGTGCTTGTCAATAGATATGAGATAACAGTGGTTTCTAGTGCTTGTCGACAGATCTAAGTTAATAGTGGTTTCTAGTGCTCATTGGTGGATACAAGTTTGAAAACATAATTTGTATTCATAGCACATATATATCCAGTCTTGAAGATGATCAGAACACTGTAATCAGCTTAACTCATTGTACCTGCAGTCTCTGGAAACATATGCTACTCATTAATGTATTGCATGACACTGTGATTTTACACTGAAGTATAATACAGAGTTAAATATGTTACATAAATCAACTTTGAATACGAAAATCAGCAAGTCACATGAGAAATACAGTTGATATAAAGTCATGAAAGAATGGCATATATCATAACTACATTTTGACATTATTTGGTGTGTCTGGAATGACCGTATTGATAAGTCACTCAATTTAAAATCTGAGGGTTGCAGGATTGAAATCCATCACTTAACATGCTTGCTCTTTCAGCCATAGGGACACTATAATGTGATGGTCAATCCAACTATTCATTGATAAACAATATCCTGAGAGTTAGCAGTGGATGAGATTGACTAGCTACCTTTCCTCTAATCTATCACTTCAAAATTAGGGACTGATAGCTCTCAACTAGCTTTGTGCTAAATTCAAAAAACAAAGGAAACACTGTTTGGCATTTCTGTAGGTAGTGTGATGCTACCAAAAATTCATTATCTTTGGGAAGAATATGTAACAGCCTTTTCCAATGTAAAATATTGGTACACCAAATATCATAAAAATGTGTTTAAATTCAGAACTCCAGAGATGGAATATTCCTTGTACTTAGTAGCAATGGTACCCCCAGTCATGGAATTGAGGTGAGAAGAGTACACGCTCACCAACATAAGGCTTCCAGTCATACCTCCCATTTAACTGTTGCAAACCTCAAGTAGCTGAAGAATGAAATGGGTATTCATACTATTCCATATGAAAACATATCAGTAAAGTTGCCAGATGCAGCATTTATGGATTTCTGTGCAACTGGACTACTGAAAAAAAAAAGTGCTGGGAAACTGTTATCTTCATACACCAGATGAATTATAGAAATCAGAATGGAGGAGTGGTGTGTTTTGACATAAAAGTCTTACAATGGAGCCCTTTTTCATTGGAACTATGATGCAGAATATGGTCATCAGATAGAGCATGAATAGACATGTTGACATAAACTGTGATGACATGATGAGACTCAAAAATTGTTTTAATATAACATACTCAACCCTCTATAAAGGAATGGATCTCAAAAATGAATTATAAAAACACCCATTTCTCAACAGCATTGTGGAATCTTAACAATAAAAAGTAACTATTAGTTTATTATAACATTAAAGAGCAATTATTCCTTGTGCAAGCTATCTTACTTGTGTCATATTTAAGCATTGTTTTATTTATCAAACTTGAAATTAGGATAATAGTTTCTGCCTTTGTTTCAGGGGATTATGACTTTGCTTTAGCAACTGCATTAGTAGGAAAGGAGAACACCAGCCAATCAACTCTTCTCATCCAAAGTGTTATTGAAAAATTCTCTGAGCATCTTGTCTCCAGGTAAGGTTTCAGCTATGTTTCTTAGTTTCATGAAAAAGCTGTTACATATATTACATTTTATAAGAGTTGTATTAACTACTATAGTCTATCTATACTTGAAGCTTTAAATAAGTAAAACTTAGTTAAACTAAGATATTAATTAAAATTTATGTTTTATCTGACAAAGGGATGGTTTCTCTCTCATAATCGACACTAAATTTAACAATCATTTAGAATTAAAACTTAGTGTTTATTATGAAAATAAATGATTAAAACTGCTATACAATAGTTTTAATAGAATAAAAACAAAACAAAAACTCAGGAATCAAAAATTTCATCAAGAAAGATATCAACTAACGAAATATGAAATTTCTACACCTACTTACACTACTGAAATTCCTGATTTGTACATCCCTTTAATTACTGGAATATCAGATATCTATACTACCTCGTACATTCAATTAACATCAGATATCTATACTACCTCATACTTTCAATTAATATCAGATATATATATATATTACCTCATCCTTTCAATTAATATCAGATATA